CCTGGCTGCTGCGGCCCTCCCCGCCCCAGCTGGGGAGGCTGCGGGGCTGGGGTTGCCCTCCCCGTGCCGCTTCCTGCTTGGCTGTCCTGCAGGGAGCTCCGGCGCGGGGGGAGGGAGGCGGAAAAGTGCTGGAAGTACCGGAGAGACACTGGCAGGGCAGGGCAGGGCAGGGACGTGCGGCAAATCCCCGAGCCCGCTTCTTGCAGTGGCTCTGCGCCGGTCGCTCCCGGGTCTGCGTGTCCCTTCTGCTTTGGTGGGAGACACCGGGCGGCCCTGGAAGAGGGGACACAAGGGTTAGTGCAAGTTCTGTGTGATGGAAGGTCGATCGCCACCTGCTGCTGCCTCCCCAGTTGTGAGGGGGAAGCCAAGCGTAGGTTTGGGGCGATTCAGTGGCTTTGCCTTTGCTGCAGGGCAAAGCTGTGGCCTGGTTAGGCAGGTTGGGGCGAGCAGTGACATGGTGACATGCCCTGCTTTGGCTCAGGGTCCCCGCTGACTGACAGAGGCCACACAGGAACGGGGTGTGCTTGAGCAGCAGGGGCTGCATCCCCGGCTCTCCCTACTCTGCCTGCTGTGACCTTAGCAAAGGTTTGTTCTTCTCTGCAGAGTATGAAGCTGCAATGGACATACGGTTTGGGCTGGAACCAGGGCCTCTCTTTCAGGGCCTCAAAAAGGTAGGATGGGTGACTGGTACCAGCATCTTTTATTTTGTGGCAGTGATGCTAACATCACATCTCCGTGCCCTTTGCTCGCTCGAGCTTAGCTTCAGAGGCTTGTAGTAACTTTGCAGGTTTGAGTGTTCATAGTTAATTTTAGTCTTGTTTCTAATGAGGAAGAAGGACTTGCCAGGTGTGTCTAGATCTGAGAATCATAACCAAAGTTTTTTCTTTTTTTTTTTGATCCCTGGCCTAAGTGTTTCCCCTTCATTACATCACTGAATAGTTTTCTGTTATACTGTTTGGCTTTAAAAGCTGTGTTCACCCTTGACATTTCCTGCAGTATTTTTACCCTTTTGTCTGTCACTGGGTATTTTGAACAGTGCTTAATGTCAACGAACACACATTTCCCTCTTGCTTGGCCTGTAGTCCAGCATAGAGGAGAACAGATTTTTGAGGCATAAGGGCTTAAAGAAACATGGTTAGTCTTTAAAAAAAGCTAATAAGAAAGGTAGCACCCCTTTACCCCAGACCCAAACCCAGTCAACCCTTCCCCCACCTTGCTTTTGAACTCACATGCTTTGGAAAAGTGCAAGTAATGCAACTAATATTGAGGTTGATTTGCACAAGACCAGGAATGAATCTGTGGAAATATTTTGGTGTCTAGGCCCAACATCCCTGCTGGTAAGAGACCCTTGACATGTGCTTTCAAGAAAGCTATAAAGCAGTTGTGGAGATTAACTTTTGGTGGGGCTCTGTATGGGACATGTGGCTACCAGGTGATAGTCCTTAACTAATTTAGAGAAAAACCGCACGTCACAGGAAGCTCCAGCTGACCTGATTTCATCTGATCCCACCTAGGCTTTGTTGAAACAGGGAGTGAAACTTCTCTTCCATCAAGGTGCCCTTTTGCCTAAGCTCTTGGTTTTCCAAGGCAGAGCAGTGTTGCTCTCAGAATCCTCCAGGAGAGGTGAGAGGCATGCACAGGGAAGGTAGTGCTTTGCTTCTCTGTGGCTTTTCATAGAAGCTCTTAAGAGGCTGACAAGTTGAAAAAAGAACATTTCCTGGTTAAACTTTGGGTGAGTTAAGTGCAGTCCAGAATTTTGTTCTTCCTAATGGGAAAAAAACATCCTAAGATTAACAGCATTAGGGCAAGAAAAAGCGTGGATTTGTTTCATTTATAGAAATGGTCAGCAACAGAAGTAGCAGATTAATTTGTTGTTTCTGAAGAAGCTTCCTGACAGAGGGCCAAAGCAAGGAAGCCCTGATGAGTGGGACCCTTGTTCTAGGCTGCCTCTCTTAGTCATCAGCCTGTTCCTCATGTCTTGGGGAGGGAGGTGTGTGCAAGTGTGGGTGCCTCTCGTTCCTCTCTGAGGTTAGAAAATTCCTATGGCCTTCATAGGGAATGGCAGGGATCGCTGCTTGGTCAGGTTCAGTGCTAGTGTGGGGTTTAGGAGTCACAACACCACCAAAAGCTCTTTTTCTAAATTTCACACCATTAGAAATCAAAACGGAGCTGTTGGAGCTCACCACTCCTAAGTGATCAGACTGCATTGCTGAAACAAGATGTTCCCCAGACGTTGAGTTTTGTGGTGTTGGGTAGCAAGGCCTGGTGTGTTATGGGGACACATTTCCTCATCTTTTAAGAGCATGCTGTTATGGCCAGGTATATGCACTGACAGTTCCCTTGTTGTCCCAGGATCCCATGGACTTTGAGTGGAGCTACTGGATTGAATGGGGAAGGGAGCGGATACTGTGGCTCCTGGCTGGTCATCTGCTGGTATCACAGGTGTCTAGGCTCTTGGTGGAGAAGGTATGTATGGCTTTTCTTCACAGAAGGGAGTTTCTGTGGATTTCAGTTTACTCTGGACATGGGAAACTTAAGGCTGAGGCTGCTGAGTATGGGAAACCTCATTCTGTGGGAATGATTGTGCGATATTGCAACGGTGAGCATGCACAGGTAGGTTGCCTTAGGTCTGTGTTCAGAGACTTCAGCCTCCAACCCTTGAAAGCTTGTGCTTTGTTGTGAACCACTGATGAGTGTCATTTGACCTGTACACAAAAGAAGTATGTAGTTACTCCTTTCCAAGGCTGCAAAGTGATGACTGATTGGGTTTTGGCACGATTGCTAAAAGATCGCGCGATTGTAGGAAATGGCTGGCATGTGGTGTCATACCTGCTTGTTTGGGGAAGGAAAAGGAGGACGTTGGACCCTGTGTGTGACAGCACAGATATTGAGTGGTTTGGGTTTTTCTTCTTTAAAAATAATGAAACTAAACATTGTTCACTTCTTTTTTCTAACAGTATAAACCATGGTGCTTGATGATTTATGGGATGGCTGCCTGCTGGTTGTTACTTGGAATCAAGGGCTTTGCTGTCATTTTGTTACATGCAACTATTTCATTTGCTGTGGCTCAGTTTCAGCTGTCACTCCTGACATGGTTGTGCTCCCTTATCCTCTTATCCACTCTACGCATACCAGCTGTGGAAGAAGCAAAGGTAATGTTAGAAGGATTAATTAAGCATCCAATTAATTATGGTGGTGTTTGTCTGTTATGGCAGCTATCTGTATGACAAGAGTGTTGTCCCTTCAGCTGATGTAAGCAAAGGTTGACTTGAAAAACCTTAAGGCATTAGAGCTGAAGTCATCCATGCTGGATCTTCTGCAGTTAGAGAAGTCCTGTTTCTCGATCGTGCTGGCTGGTGCATTGAGATGAAAGTATGTGCCTTCATGTGTAAATGGTATTCAGTAGAGCTGGAGTATGATATTTTGTGCTCTAGTAAACAGATTTCTTGTTCTTTAGAGCTGTAATTGTACCAGTTGGTGCTGGCTTTTGGGTTCCTATCCAGAAGTTGCTTAGTCCATCCTGACCATGCTTTATTGGTGACTGCAGGCTTCTGCATAGGAAGGGAGACTGTTTCTCCAACACTGATTTGTACCAGTTGAGTTGCTTGCTCACAACTGATTGATGCACGCTCTGTTTGATCTTTCTGTAATGGCTTTTTCTGGGCAGTATGGATTTTGGAGAAACAGCTGCTCAGTTATTTGGACTAAGGGGAAAAACTCGGCATACAGTATAAGGCTTGTTTTGATGTTCGGGGGGAGGGCAGAGGGGAGATGAGTGGGTAAGGTCTTCTCATGTGGTGTAGAATGAAGTGTCTTGCTGAGAGGAATAGGGGACCCACTGCAATACAAAATAATCAGCCAAACTGCCTTTACTGATGTTTCCAAACTTTTTGTGGCTGGAAACAGCTATGACGGGGAGTGCCAAAAACTTGATAAAGATCCAGTAACATCTTTATAGCCTCAGACTTTCTTAAAAGTGAATGATTGTCTTCAGATCTGAACTGCAGCTTTGGCTTTAGCCCTAGCAGTCCCTTGGCTGTCAATAGGGTTGCTACCTAGTTTGGATGTTGTATTACTGGGCCAAACCTGAGGAAAATAATAGCATTGCTGTAAGCAAAGTTCCCCTGCTGTCATAGGTCTAATAAGTTTCTGAAATCAAGCTGTTGTCTCTTTATACTCATTGCAATAGTTCTGGAGGCCCTTTCTCTCTCAACAGTCATTGTTGTTCATGATTGAAGTAGTGGTGTTCAATTCAAATGATTGTTGCAGCTGCTGCTTGCTTTAGTTGCTTCCTGTTGCTGGTGACCCTGAAAGTTAGGGTCTGTGTGGACATTGCTGTCCTGCCATACAGAACACACAGCGTTGCACCATTGTGATCTGGCTTTGTTTTGTCTTGCAGAGAAAGTGGTACGACACAGAAAACGAGTATTATCTGCTGCTCTTCACTGTGTCTGTCCGCTGTCTCTTCTGCACTAGCTTCAGCTTGGAGTACTGCTGGCAAGGACCTGCCCAGAAGTCATTCCACTCCTTCCTGTGGATGCTGGCATATGTGTTCTATTATCCCATGTTCCACAATGGACCCCTTATGAATTTTGATGAATTCAGTAAACAGGTAACAGTGTTTTATTACGACAGTCAGAGATTTTCATTGCGTTTGCACTCAAGTAAATTGGGTGAAGAAGTACTGATGTGGGTGGTGATCTCTTTTCAGCTGCCAAATCTAGACATGGACTCTATACTTTGAGGATTAGATTAAAGCATGATAGGTTTATTTTATTTTTTTTCCCCTCATCTTGAGAGATTTTAATATCTATTGTGAGAGAAGGTTAGATAGGCAGTTTCACCCAGTTTTCATTGAGATGCTTTTTTACTGGTGTGTTTAATGTTTACAGGTAAGCCTGAGTTTCTGATTATTTTCTAGTTACCTACTTGACAAAAGTTTATACTGATGACACTTTCAAACTGAAGATGTTCCTAATGGTAGTCTTTATCATCCTTTTCTCTCTAAGTGTTGAAGTATGCTGCATACAAAAGGGAAGGCTTGTAGTTAGAAGCCAGTCTTGGGTATTCATACTTGTATGGCAGCCATGGCATATAAACTCATGTAAGGCTGCTGACTCACATTGAGAGTACATTGAGTCAAAATATATTGTCTTTAGTGCTTGGTGGTGAGAGCTTGGTCTGACTCTCATGTTAGTGAAGGCAGAAAGGAGGCAAAATAGTTTATGAAGGCTGGATGATTATTGTTATCTATCAAACTCTCAGCTCTCTTCTCTTCTGAAAAAAAAAATAAAATAATTCCCTCAATAAGGTACTTTGAAAAGAAACAAAACCAACCTACCAAAAAGAAGTTTTCATTCAGTAAAAACATCTAAAATGGATTCTATAGTATTTTTCCTCCTTACTAGTAGTTTGAAGGATTTCAATTTTTACTTAGTCCTTGAAGATTAATAATTGTAGGGGTGTCTAAAGCTATCTTCCACATGACTGTGAAAATACCAAATAGTGTTCCAGGAATGTGCAGACAATGTTCTGGATACCAGCTTTAAGACAAGTCTTCCTCTCCAAGTTCTTCACCTTTACAGGATGTTTTTTTTGTCTGACATCAGATTCATCCCTTCAACCAGGGAGCCAATGGCTCATATTGTTACATTTAGAGTGTTCATAATTTCAGCATGTAGCTGCTGAACTAGATTTTTTTCTTCTTTCCTCCATCAGGCAGAATTATAGAAAACTTTCAGCAGCAGCTGACTATTAACTCTGAAAAGGATTCCAGAGTCATAGAAGGCTGCTGTTTTGTACTGGGAATTCTCGAAGACCTTAGTTTCCCTCATGTTGGTGTGAAAACAGCTGATGATTTACTTGGAACACTTTTCTTCAGATTTTAACAAGCTAAGCAGCTTCTTTAATGTGAAAGACCTACTTACCTTGCTGCATTTGTGTTTGTTTTTTTAGTGCCTTGCAGGCTGCTTTTCAAGCCTGCTCTGCATGACATGGGAAAGCCCTGGATTTCCATGCTTTGTTGCTTTCCTTATTCTCTTGCACACTTTAGTAAGAACCAAAATTGCCACCAGTGATGTCTGTAATACTATTGGGATAAAGTGGATGAATAGACACAAGCCATGAAACGGCTGTGCTAGTTTATGTGTAGGAGCCTAGGCATTGCTTCTGTTGATATTCAGAAATTTTCCATTGGAGCCACAGAAAATAGACTGGGCTTTATGAAACTGAAAACTGAGATTCTGATGGATCTCTTTGAGTGACAAGTCCTATGCTCATTTGTCTTCAGTAACTTTGGAAGTTGTTATCCTGGGCTGGATGTTGTAGTAAAAGTCCACATAGACTTGGATAGAAACTGAGGTAATTTTTTCAGTTTATTGTTTTGTAGCTTCTGAAATATGTTAAATTCTACCTGTATTCTTATTCCTCCAGAAGAAGGAGAGGTTTTTTTCTTTTCAAGGAATGCTTTAGAAGACCTAAGACTCCAGGTTGAGAACAGCTTGGGGGTAGCTGGTAGGAAAAATTAGTGGAGGAGTCTTGCATTGGAACTGAGCTCATCTGATATGGCTCAGCAAAGACCAGTGTGAAGATGACCTGTGTTCTTGGTGTGAGGAGAAAAGATTCAGAATGGGATGCCTGTATTTGCAGTAGGTTCTCATTTAAACGCACTCAGACCTGTTTGGTTAAAGCCATTACAAACAGAGCAACTTTAATGTGTGTCTTCTTGGTGTTTGCTGAAGTGCATTGTCAGAGCTCTTATCCTGGCAGGTGAGGTTGGAGAAGCATTTTGAAGTTTGTGTGCCCAGCAATTGATTTGAAGTGCACGATACAAATAGCGTGTTTATTGCTCTATCAGCAAAGAACACTTGCAGAACCCCTTAACTGAAGTTGAGACTGAGATGAGGTCTCCTGCTGAGCACACTGGAAAGCAGAAGCCCTGAAGATGGAGACTGAGCAACTGCTGTATAGTCTGAGGAGTGTAACACCAATGCTGGCATTTGGCATCTTTCACGGGGCAAAAATTATAGACTGTGACACTTCATCAATGAATTGTTGAATGTCTGGGTGTAGCAGGATGTAGCAGTTCTAGTCATGGGTTTGAAGGCTTGTTGCACAAATCTTTGTGATTAAATCTTTCACCCAGCTGGTACAAATTAACCTTCAAAATAGGTGTCTTGCTTCATGTGTAAGTGAGCAGAGCCAATTGTATGTTGCCTGTACTGTGACCTTGCAATTATGAGGACGGTTTGTCTGTGCAGATGGGTTGGTTGCTTATCTTGTATGTGCATTTTTTTTGCCACTTAAAGCCTGAAGAAGGTTTTGCACACACAATGACAGATGTACAAAACACGACAAAACTTTAAGGCAACCTTATGTTTGTTTTTTGCTTGTTCTTCCACTGCCAAAAGAAGGTAAAATAATAGTATGCCATTGTGTTTACTGTAGTTAGCTGTGTCAGAGTTTGGGGCATCTTGAGAAGCCTGTCAACTGCAAACCTTGTCTTATGTGGTATTTAACTTGCACTTCACTGCCATTTGCTCAGCACATCATGTAGGTCTTACTAACCTTGGTAAAGCTACTGAAGGAAGTTAACTTTCCTCAAATCATCAATCCCATGCATCTGGTAGAAATTGGAGGTATTTTAAGAGCAAACAGTCATTGTTTGTTTGGTAAGGCTGCTGCTTGGAAAACCTTCATAGCTGTAGTTTCTCTGAACTTTTATTGTCTCTAGAGGATGATCAAGTTACAGGAATTTTAAAAAGTGTCTTAAGCCTGAATTCTGTTCAGGTTGACAACACTTGGCCTTTTCTGCAGCAATTTAGGCCTAACATGAACATATACTGAGAATGCTTACTGAGAATGGACAGACCAGTCTCCCTCAGGAATACGTCAGGAGTTTCCAACTGGTATGATCCCCTTGGTCATAGTAATGAATAGCAAATAAAAATTAAAAGTTCTTAGGATGAGTATTTGAGTAGTAATGAATAGCAAAAATTAAAAGTTCTTAGGATGAGTATTTGAGTAAAACAGTCAGTTATGTGTCATATAGCCTTTTTGAATTTCTTTTTTAGATGAGGAGAAAAGAAGCCTTCAGTCTGAAGACCAATCTCAGCATATTAATCGTGGGCCTAATTCGTATTTTCTTTTGGTGGTGCCTGGCTGAGCTGATGATTCATCTCATGTATATCCATGCTCTCTACAGCAGTGGTCAGCCTTTGGAAGCTGCATCATACTGGGCTTTGGGTGAGTATAGAAACAATAGCAGAAATCTTTCTTCCCCCCCCCGCCACTTAAAGAACCCTAGTCTACTTCTCTTGTATGTCCATCTGTAGGTATTCTAAGAATATTACATTATGGACAGTCACTGTCAGAAAGGTCATCTACAGACTCTTACTATAAAATGTAGATTCTCTAAGAGGCTTACAGTTGAGCTTATTTGAGCTGCTTCCTAAATTAAAATCTGTTTTTTTTCCAGTCAAAAATGTGTGTCTAAACTTTGGTCTAAAGTGGCTTTCTTCCCCAAGTCATAGAAGTATATACTTGAAACAGAGTTTGTTTAGTGTATGGATGGAGGAGGAAAGATGTTAAGATTTGGTGTTCACTGATCTCCTTCTGTGTTTCATGTTTCTACTTTGTATTCATGTTGAAAGGTAAAATGACAGTACTCATGAAAAGAGCAGAGGGAAGGAACTGCAAACAAGTTAGCATGAAAATAGCAGTCAGTACCTCTCAGCTCTGTTTTCCTGCTTTACTTCCCACTCTTCTGCGCCCTCCCAGTTCCCTGGTATTTTATTAAAATGCTTAACTGGGGAAAAAATAAGCACTGGTGAATGTAGCGTAAAACAGCAAGAGCTTTGGGTGCTGGTGTGTAGGTAGATAAAGGCTAATCCTTGACCCGCTGGCATATGTGGTTGATATCCTGCCATTGTCCTATGTGTGTCATTGGGTAGGAGGAACAAAAGTGGAGAAACCCTGGACCTTAAAACTGGGGTTTGAAAAAGCCTTTAAAACTGCTGAATTGAAGGAGATGCCTCTTACTGTACCAGCAAGTAACAGGAGTCAAAACACACACTGGTATGGTCCTGTCAGGCGTTCACTGGAGACTGTGAATGATGAGTGGTGTGTGTTGGAGGACACTTGTGTATTGGACTCCAGTCAGCAGAGGGCAATGTGTGCACTGTCTCTATCTGTGTATGTATATACGTGCATTTGCACACTTAGTATATTGTTTCAGTATATAATTTTTATACATTAAAAAGAGAAGTGCAGAAAAAGAAGTTTGACTCCATGGTTCATTCTACTCAGTCACTGTTTAGAGGAGATTCTGGGTTTTCATCTTGTGTTCTAAATGGCAATTTATTCATGAATTAAATCTGTTAAATCCTGGTGGTGTCTCTGACAAAAAGCTTTGCTGTGTTACTGAGCATGAGGAACCTGGAATGTGCTGGCCACGGGAAAAGGCAGGCAAGGTTATGGAATTAGGGATGAAATAGTCTAGTTTTGGTGTTCCTGGCAGATTCTTCCTTCCTTTCAAGACTAGCAATGTTGATTTTAAAAAAGGGGAAAAAAGTTACTTTTCAGACAGTAGTTAAGTAGGCTGTATATTTAATGATGAAATAAAATGTTATATCCTAATGAGATGCATTTAAAATGCTTGCATGCAATTGCAATGCATGCACTTAAAATGCATTAATACCTGAAATGAGGGATAATGGTATCCCAGGCAATGAGGCAGCTTCCATGGGCATCAACTTAAATGCCTCCATGCAAATGCACACAGCGTGGGAAATAAGCAGGAGGAGCTGCAGGGGCTGCTTGGCCCCTGCAGGGCTGTGGTGTTATTGGCAACACTGAGATGTGGTGGGATGACTCCTGTGACTGGAGTATGGGAATGGATGGGAGCTCTTCAGGAGGGACAGGCAGGGGAAAAGAGGAGAGGGCATTGCCCTCTACATCAGTGACCAGCTGAAGACCATGGAGCTCCACCTGGGGATGGAGAAGGAACTGAAAGAGAGCTTATGGGTTGGGGTTAAAGGGAAGACAGGGGCTGGTGATACCTCAGTGGGAGTCTGCTATAGGCCTTCTGAGCAGGATGGCTGAGCTGATGAGGTCCTCTACAGGCTGGTAGGTGCAGCTTCCCCTTCACAGGCTGTGATCCTCATGGGGGATTTCAACCACCCCCACATCTGCTGGAGGGACAACACAGCAAAGCACCAGCAATCCAGGAGTTTCTGCAGTGCATTGATGACAACTTCCTTTTCCAAGTGGTAGAGGAGCCAATTAGAAAAGGTGCTGGACGTTGTTCTCACCAACAGGGATGGGCTGGTAGGCAATGTGAAGCTTAAGGGCAGCCTTGGCTGCAATGACCCTGAAACAGGGGAATTCAGGATCTATAAGGCAACAAGAAGGGTGTGCAGCAAGCTTGCTACCTTGGACTTCAGGAGAGCAGACTTTGGCCTCTTCAGGGATCTGCTTTGTAGGGTATCATGGAATAAAATTCTGGATGGGAGCAGAGCCCAAGAAAGCTGATCAATATCCAAAGATTACCTCCTCCAAGCAATGCATCCCAAGAAAGAGGAAGGTTGGCAAGAATGCCAAGATATCTGCATGGATAAACAAAGAGCTCCTGGACACTCTTAGATGAACAAAGAAAGTCTTCAGAGGGTGGAAGCAGGGATGGGTAGCCTGGGAGAAGTACAAGAAAGTTGTCCAAGAAGCCAGGGAACGGGTTAGGAAAGCTAAAGCCCAGACAGAGTTAAACCTGGCCAGGGACATCAAGGGCAGTAAGAAGGGTTTCTGCAGGTGCATCAGTGAGAAGAGGCAGAACAGGAAGAATGTGGGCCCTCTCCAGAAGGAAACAGGAGACCTCATCACGCAGGATATGGAGAAGGCTGAGGTGCTGAATGACGTCTTTGCCTCAGTCTTCACCAGTAAGTGCTCTGGCCACACAAATCCATGGCACCTGACAAGATTAATCAAAAAGGGAAGGCAAGAAGGCCCAGGGAGCTACAGGCCAGTCAGTCTCACCTCTGTTTCTGGTGAGATCATGGAACAGATCCTCCTGAAGGCTCTGCTAAGGCACATGGAAAATGTGGAGGTGGTTGGGGGTAACCAACATGGCTTCACCAAGGGCAAATCATGCCTGACAAATTTGGTGGCCTTTTAGAATAGGGTCACAGCATCAGTGGACAAGGGAAGAACAACTGACATAATCTACTTGGACTTGTGCAAAGTGTCCTGCATGACATCCTGTTCTCAAAACTGGAAGGATATGAATTTGATGGATGGACCACTCAGTGGATAAGGAATTGGCTGGATGGTTTTACCTGGAGAGTAATGATCATTGTTTTGATGCCCAAATGGAGAACAGTGAGTGACATTCCTCAGGGGTCAGTACTGGGACTGGTGCTGTTTAACATCATTGTCAGCGACATGAGCAGTGGGATTGAGTGCACCTTCAGCAAGTTTGCTGATCACACCAAGTTGTGTGGTGTGGCTGACACACTGGAGGGAAGGGAGGCCATCCAGAGGGACCTTGACAGACTTGAGAGGAGAGTTCATGCCAGCTTCATGAAGTTCAACACGGCCAAGTGCAGGGTCCTGCACCTGGGTTGGGGCAATCCCAAGCACAAACACAGGCTGGGCAGAGGATGGATTGAGAACAGCCTTGAAGAGAAGGATCTGGGGGTGTTGGTTGATGAAAAGCTCAATGTGAGCTGGCAGGCTAGAAAACCAACCCATGTCCTGGGCTGCATCAAAGAAGTGTGGCCAGCCGGGCGAAGAAGGTGATTCTGCCCCTCTACTCCACACTTGTGAGACTCCACCTGGAGTACCGTGTGCAGTTCTGGAGCCCCCAACACAGGAAGGACGTAGAGCTTTTGGAGCAAGTCCAGAGAAGGGCCATGAAGGTGATGAGAGGGCAGGAGAACCTCTCCTGTGAAGGCAGGCTGGGAGAGCTGGAGTTGTTCAGCCTGGAGAAGAGAAGGCTCTGAGGAGACCTTATAGGAGCCTTCCAGTACCTGAAGGGGCTACAGGAAAGCTGGGGAGAGATTTTTGTAAGAATATGTAGTGATAGGACAAAGGGTAATGGTTTTAAGATGGAAGAAGATTAGAAAAGCCTAAAATGTCTCAAAGCAACAGGTGCTGAAAGTTAGTATTAAATCAAGTTTAGACTGTAAAGCTGCCTGATTTGGGTCCAGATGAGATTCATCCTAGGGTGCTGAGGGAGATGGTGGAAGAACTGGCCAAGCTGCTCTCAATCATTTATCACCAGTCCTGGCTGACTGGGGAGGTCCAAGATGACTGGAGGTTGGTCAGTGTGACACCCATCCACAAGAAGGGCCGGAAAGAGGATGTGGGGAACTATGATCCTGTCAGCCTGACCTCGGTGCCTGGCAAGGTTAGGGAACAGGTCATCCTGAGTGCCATCAAGCAGCATGTAGAAGGCAACCGGGGGATCAGGCCCAGGCAACATGGGTTTAGAAAAGGAAGGTCCTGCCTGACCAATCTCGTCTCCTTCTATGACTGGGTGACTTGCCTAGTGGATGAGGCTGTGGATGTGGTCTACCTTGACTTCAGCAAGGTCTTTAACATAGTCTCCCACAGCATCCTCCTGCAGAAGCTGGCAATCCACAGCTTGGACAGGTGCACCCTTTGCTGGGTTAAAAACTGGTTGGATGACCAGACCTAGAGAGTGATGGTGAATGGAGCTGCATCCAGCTGGGGTCTGGTGACCAGCAGTGTCCCCCAGGGATCAGTGCTGTGCCCAGTCCTATCCAACATCTTTATTGATGACCTGAATGAGGGGATCAAGTCCACCCTCAGTAAATTCAGGGGTGACACCAGGCTGGGGGGAGTATCGATCTGTCGGAGGGGAGGAAGAAGCTGCAGGAGGACCTGGACAGACTGGGTCGATGAGCTGAGGCCAATGGCATAAAATTCAACAAGACCAAGTGCAGGGTCCTGCACTTTGGCCACAACAACACCAGGCAGCGCTACAGGCTGGGGGAAGAGGCTGGAGAGCAGCCCAGCAGAGAGGGACATGGGAGTACTGGTTGGCAACTGGTGGAACATGGGCCAGTAGGGTGCCAAGGTGGCCAGGAAGGCCAATGGATCCTGGCTTGTATCAGGAATAGTGTGGCCAGCAGGAGCAGGGATGTGATTCTCCCCCTGTGCTCAGCACTGGTGAGACCTCACCCCGGGTCCTGTGTGCAGTTCTGGGCCCCTCACTGCAAGAAGGATAT